TCTTGTTTGCCTGTCGACATATTGAGAGTTTGGCAAAGAAATTTGAATTCCATATCGCTAACATCTAAAGAAGAAACTGTTGATAAGTTAGATAACCTGATGGATTTTTTTATGTCACGAGAATGAAAGCGAAGAGAAAGTGCGTCTAGCACGAACCGGATTTAACCGTGAGACCAAAATTGAAAGCAAAATTATTTCACCCGCGTCCGCACGACGGGAAAGATTTACTACGACAGCTGCAGAGTTATGTAACGCTTCGGATATTAAAAAGGAAACTTGTGTATTTTGTAAATAAGCACATATGACTAGCCAGTGTAGGTATGCTGAGAATTTTGCCTTATGAAGAGAAAAAGCAAATGTTGTTAAAAAAAGGCGCATGTTTCAGATGTTTAGCAGTAAGAAAGCATATTTCTCGTTTTTGTAAAATGAAAGTACCACCGTGTGAGATTTGCGGTAAGGATCATTTTAAATTAATGTGTACTGAAAAATGTAATCCCGAAAATTCGAACCGATCGCTCCAGGTTGAGGAGAAACAAATCAAAAGTAAGGACTCCGCTCTATCTAACAAAACAGCTACTCGTAAAGTTCTCTTGCAAACACTAATTGGTTGTCTTAGGAATAAGAATAAAACGAAACACACAAGGTTACTAATTGACTCAGGTAGCAATAAATCTTACTTGTCAAATTTTGCAGTAATGGAACTAATTGACTCAGGTAGCAATAAATCTTACTTGTCAAATTTTGCAATAATGGAAATGGGATATGAATGTATTGGTGAAGAAATATTAACACGTAGTTTGTTCAGCGGTATAGAAACTACGGAAACACATAAGAGGTATTTGATTCGCCGTAGTGACTTTTCGCATAATTATCGATGTAATTTCAAGGTGTTAAATCAAGAAAAATTTGTTCCGAAGTCCCAAAAATACCGAGTGGTAAATTTATGATTGAAATTAAGAAATATAAAATTTTTCTGTCTGATTTGAATGATAAAGTAGATCTGTTGTATCAATTATCTCCTGACGAGGTTCATGGACTCGTAGGGGCTGATGTTGTAGGTAAACTGTGTACCGGAAACATAAAACAGTTATACTCATGTCTAGTCTTGATGGAAACGCGGCTTGGATGGACACTAATGGGTAAGACTGATACGATCGAAACTTCAGACAGCACGAATAGCGTTATGTCGCTACATGTAAACGATGCAAAAATTTCAGACTTATGGCGACTTGATGCACTTGGAATTTTGGACCCTGGAGAGAATGGAAGTCGACAAGAGCTTGAGATGGCAGCTGAAGAACATTTTAACAGAAGTGTAAAATTAGATGTCGACGGAAGGTACGTTGTAAGTCTCCCGTGGATACAAGGCCATCCTCCTTTGCCCACTTGCAAAAATGTGGCAGAACGAAGGCTAAAGGGCTGCGTTGAATCACTAAAGAGGAATGGAAACTTAGAAGCATACGAAGAATTGTTTAGAGAGTGGCTTCAAGAGGGCGTAATTGAAGAAGTTAAGGATTCCTGTAAAGAAGAAAGTGAACACTTCTTACCTCACAGGGCTGTAGTGAAAGAAAATTCCACTAAAAGAGTCAGACCGGTTTTTGATGGATCGGCCAGAGAAAAGAACTCACCTTCTATCAACGACTGCATGGAAAAGGGTCCCAACACCGTCGAGCTCATTCCCGCCGTCATGAATCGATTTAGATTAAAGAAAATAGGCGTTGTTGCGAACATTCGTAGAGCCTTCCTACAAATTGGACTGAGTGAAAGTGATCGACCATATCTAAAGTTTTTATGGTGGGAGGGTGGTGATTCTGCCAAACCTAAAGTTTTCTAGCATAGACGGGTTGTGTTCGGACTTTCATGTTCATGTTTTGGGAGCAACCATTCGATTTCATTTACATAATGCTCCTCCCCATTTTCTAAAAACAGCTACCAAGCTGTTGGAATCCTTTTACGTGGATAACTGTGTTACCAGTGTGAAAAATCCCGAAGAACTTAAGAAATTTATTGAGGAATCCAAGCTGGTTCTTAGCACTGCCAAATTCGAACTTCGAGAGTGGGAGAATAGTTATAATAATCAAGACTGTGAAGACCCTTTGCTTAAAAATGAAAAGAATATTCCAGTTCTAGGGCTTCAGTGGAATTTAAAGAATGACTTTTTGACAGTAGATTTACGAGAAAATATTGAAGACGGTACGGCTGTGACAAAGAGAAAAATTCTGTCAACCGTACATAAAATCTTTGATCCTACCACCATTGCAAAAAAGTTCGAGAAGTGGAGACGGGAACTTTCTAAGCTGAAAGAAATAGAATTTCCTCGATGTCTTATTCCCAATTGTGAAGTACCAAAAAGTCTAACATTACATGTATTCTATGACAATGGTTCTAATTTTTCAGGAACTGAGAATTTGCTGAAGAAAATTGATTGCGACGTCATTTCCCAATACAGCGGTTCTCAAAAGAACATTTGGAAATTTAATCTCCCTTCTGCCCCATAGTGGGGTGGGTGGTGGGAACGTCTGATAGGTATAATCAAAGGAATTCTACGAAAGGTTCTAGGTAGAATCTCACTTAATTTAGAAGAAATGAACACCGTTATTTGTGACATTGAAGGTGTGATTAATCAGAGACATTTAACCTATATTTCGGCAGATGTTGATGATTTAACTCCTCTTAAACCACTTACCTCTATGTCTTTGCATGATCTTAAAGAAACAGGAATTCCAGATAGCCCTGAGTGTGCTTTGGATTCGTCGTAATTAAATATACCAACACCAACACCACCATGTTTACCGTCAAAGTGTGAAACAAGATTTAAGAAAACGGTTTCGTACTGAATATTTCGGGAAATTTACGCCAATCATCGAAATCTTATAAGAAATCAGAAACACCATCCAAATTGGTGATATTGTTCTGGTTTCTAGTGATAACGTTAAGGAAATTGAATGACCTCTGGCTAGGCTGGTCGAACTCTATCCTTCTAAAGGTGGACAAGTTCGCCTAGTAAAAATAAAAATTAAAAACGGAGAATTTCTCCGCCGTCCAGTGCTTAGGTTAATACCTCTTGAAGTGACTGACAAAAGTGACCTCCGTTATACCTGTAACAGAACAGGATTCTATTCTCAGTGAACCTAAGACTGATGAAAATCGTCTTTCAGAACCGCTTCTGACAACCCAATACTAGTTCAAAAAATAACTCCTTCAAAGCAACCAACTGTTAATGACTGTTTTCCTAGAGACTGTTCCTGGAAAAATGTCCAGATATCGGACGATTAATTAAACCTAGAATTAGGGTTTGAGATTCCCTAGTTCGAATCTCAAAGGTGGGAGGATGTTGGATTTTGATACTTTCCCCCTGTGCGCGCGCATAACGGATTGAACTGATTACGTAAGTTTTAACCGCACGCTCAACGATTTATGATGTAATCAGTGTTCTATTTTTAGTTTAGTTTGTTAATGAATGCCTTAGGAAATGTATGCGTAGTTTTTGATCTCTTGTAATAACCTGTCTTTTATAATTTGTGTACAGATTAAGGTTTTAAAAAGCTGAACCTGTGCGTATTTTTTTAATATACCTGAATGAAGAACCCGGTGATTCAGGTAAGTGCTATTTTGCTTACCTACTGCTGGAATGCTTTACGCATTAATTAATATTGTCTATTGAACTGACGCAATAGTAGGCTTGAGAGTTACTTAGAGGCAGAAAAATAGAAGACGTGACAGAAACAAATAATTTTTTCTTTAAATTTCCGTTCCTAAATAAAATGTATAAATCATTACAAAGCTGTATATTTAAAGTAATTAATAAATATTTTGCAATAGGATTTCGTTAAAAATCATAACTTCTGTATACCAGTTTAAAAGTTTTAAGTATACGTTGAATGCATCACGTACTCCGAAAACACGTCGCTTCTGATAACAAAGAATAGTAATTTCGGTTTGTTATACAAGTGGATACATTTATTGCTAATTATGACCATTTTCATTACAGATTGTGGTTTAAATGCATTTGTAGAGACTGTAACTCTCATTCTAATGAAACTACTTTAGGTTTCGGGCTTTGAATTAGAGCCAAGCTTTAATTACCTTGTACGTATCCAACGTGATCAGAAGTTTGTTGATGCTTGTTCCTTGATCTATTGCACCAAGATATTTTACTGTACATTTATTTTACAATTTATTTACAAGTCGTATGCCACCTGGCATGTTTACAAACGTTATGCCTCCTGGCATGTACATGATAGACATATTCTGCCACCTGGCATGTGAATTGATACATCATACTAGTTTTCTGTCCACCTGACAGATACGATGCAATTACCTCAATTAGCGGTAATACGCCCGTCATTTTTGGCGTGGCCGCTCCCTTTAGGTTCTATAACGCAACCTTAACTCTTTTCTGCGTTGCGCCCTCTGAGGTACAAATCACCGCAATCACCGAGGTGGCCAAAACATCCTCCCCACCCCCTCCGATGAATTATATTCATCTTAGTACAATCATTCAATATATGCAAACAAGTAAATCAAAAATATAGAAACTGAAAAACATACAAAAATCCTTCAAAGAGTATAAAATTACATGTTACACTTACCAATCTTCTAGCAAAACATCTTATATCTTACTATAAATTTTTATCTTTTTACTGGGATGGCTTAAATTTTGCAATATGATTTCTACGATATCATACAAGCGCTCTTTTGCATCTTTGCATCCAAATGGGAAAATAATAAGCGCTTCTTTATTAATAATTTTCAACCCCAGTGAATCAACCACTTCTCGTAAGATGAATGACTTTGTTGACCCTGAATCTAGCATACAACGTAATAATACCTTTTCGTTCCCCCCTTTACACCTCACTGTCGCCGAAAACTGTCTGTAAAAGAACGGAAGTTGGAGGTTTAATTTTGTTGTTATTTTCATTACATAAGAGCAAAAAAGAAGCTTCAGAGATTGGCGTTTGTTTTGTCTGCTTGGAGGCATCCGTCTCTAAATCTTTCGATGCAGCGTCACATATTAATGAATTATGTATACCCTGGACATTGTACCATCTGCACTTTTCATCTTTATGAGCACAGGAACACCTTGTATACCTTTTCAAAAAGCAAATAAAACATAAACCTTGATCCATTAATGCCTTTTGGTGAGCCATTAAATCAAGTGGGCAATCGTGATTCATGTGACTAGCAGATAAACAAAAAATGCAGACATTTTGATTCACATTCTTAGGCAGCCTCGAGAACTTTTGGTTTTGATTAAAATGTGATTTTTAAAAGTATTTAGAGGGAGTTTCTCTTTGACTAGTTAATATTGAAGCACCTTGCTTATTCGTACCATAATTGTTTCTTTTAAAATGCATATAAGATTTATTTTGATAACCTTGATGGGAACTTTTGTTTCGTACTGATGTTTCATTTACATCAAAATTCTTAGAACGCGCTAACATCATTGATGTTTTCCCTACATTCCACTTCCGTTTTCAAGAACGTTAGTAGTTCATTAAACATCGAAATTTTGTTTATCACTTCTTTTCCTAGTGAAATTCTAGAGTTAAATTCTCGGGTATTAACTTTAAAATAGGGGATAATAAATGTCCATAAGAACCACTAGTAACATTTAAGGAATTTAAATTTCTTATTTGTATTTCTATATCGTCATACAGCTTCCTTTCAAAGCAGCCGTATTTCCGGAATATTTTACAGGTTCTAAACTCAACAATTTATTCATATGCGCATTAATTAGCAGGTCATCTCTGCCGAAACGGTTTTTTAGTATATCAACAGCCACCGTATAGTTTTCATAGTAAATGTTAATCCACTAATAGCATTTAAAGCTAAACCTCCCAAAAGCGATTTTAAATAACAAAACTTGTCAACCGAACTGAGACTTTCGTTTGGTGAATGGAATTACTAAACTGATTCCAGAATTCAAGCCAAGAACAAGGATCTCCGTATATTTTGTAATCGTTAATTTTGGAAATTTTAAAGTATTAACTTCACAAGTTTTCAACTTCGGAGATATAGTTTCCTCGCTAGAATTTCTAGATTCAACTTTACACGCGTTTTTTCTTAATTTTTCCTGAATTTTACATTTAAAACTTATAATTCTTTCCTGATATTCCTGCGCGGAAATTACTTCTGTTTCTAACTCCTGTTCCGTAATTATAAGTTTTTCAATCTCAGAATCGTATTGTTTCAACAACTGCGATTTTTCAAGTAACATTTCGAGTAATTCTTTCAATTTCTCAACCGCGGTTTCACCCTCTTCTAACAACGCAGAATCTATTTTACTCATCAACTTAGTAGTTAAGTTACGCGTCACCGTACGCAACTTCTTTGCCTTATTCATAGCCTCCATTTTACCATTAGATTCTATCAACTATAATAATCACCAAGATTTTTATTCAACAATTCTATTCAAAACTGGAAAAATGAAAAAGGGCCTACCTCGAATTTCTTCGCGTTAAATCCTGGCTTTTCAGTCATGAACTCACTAATTTTCTTCGTCCATTCTTCATCTCCACAAATCAAGTCCGGTGTCACCAAAAAAATGTACGTATCCAACGTGATCAGAAGGTTGTTGATGCTTGTTCCTTGATCTATTGCACCAAGATATTTTACTGTACATTTATTTACAATTTATTTACAAGTCGTATGCCACCTGGCATATTTACAAGCGTTATGCCTCCTGGCATGTACATGATAGACATATTCTGCCACCTGGCATGTGAATTGATACATCATACTAGTTTTCTGCCACCTGACAGATACGATGCAATTACCTCAATTAGCGGTAATACGCCCGACATTTTGGCGTGTCCGCTTCCCTTACGTTCTGTAACGCAACTAACTTTTTCTGCGTTGCGCCCTCTGAGCACAAATCACCGCAATCACCGAGGAGGCCAAAACATACCTCTTTAATAATGATTTCCCAGTCTTAAAAGTCGGTACTTACTCGAAAACGTAATATTGCTAATCAGCTCTTTATCATTGAAAGGCTATGATAGTTTTTCAGGCGACTTCTTTGGAAACTGAAACTTTGTTCTGGAAGTAGACGACGTTATGTCAGATCCAAACTTTTCAAAAGATACAAAAGATACACTATTAATCAAGGTATTAAGATAAATAGTCATGTTCCTGATTACACTGCTCCAAATATTTAGGTTGCTGATGGTTTTCATCCCAAACGTCCGCGTTGTATTGCTTTAGATTTTAAATCCCGAGAAGAACAGGTTACTTTCGATTATAATGTCTTAACAGAATGGAATCATTTAAAAATCTAGTGATCTTAAGACTAACTCAGGATAATGTTAAGGGAAGGAAAGATGTTATTTATGCCTTAAGAGACGAAATGCTTTAGCCGACGTTGAAAAGGTACAAAGAACTTACAAAAATGCTTCGTTTTATCTACATAAATTAAATAATCGAATTCATTCCGATATTACAGAGGTAACATACCTTGAAGTACTTTTAAATGCAGAGCTACTATTTCTGTACATCACAAAACTGCGTTAATACAATAATACAGGGCAGTACCTGTGTGTTCTAATTTGGGCTGGACAGCGGCAGTCGCGATCAGTCATAATATGTTCCCAAAATATAGTAGTTAATTTTTAATTATATATGCTCCAGTTTGGTTTTAGCATTAAACACTGATAAGAAATATTGTCACTATTTTCAAAATAGGACGTGGTGGATATTATTTAACATATCGGGCTTGTAAAGAAAAGTGAGATCCATAGTATTAAAGAACTTAAAAGCA